AAAAAAAAAGCTAAAGTTAAAGAAAATCAAAAAAGAAAAAAATTCACCGAAATAAAACAAAAAAATCAACATCCATTTGCTTCTACAAGCAAAGCCCATTTAGATCCCTGTGCGATCCCCCACAGAAAATACAAATAAAAGTACCTCAAACAAAAAAAACTTCATTTCTTTTGCACTTCTTCTAGACTTTACTGCTCTTCTTGATTAATAATAGTAAAAAAATTTGTTTTCAGCTTTCCTATAGCCAAAATTACTCCTCAGTCACCTTCTCTTCTCCTATACGACAAATTATAAACAATTTCTACTTACGGGTAAGAAGTGGATGTAAAACTGAATTGTGCTTAAGAAAACCTAAATTTAATTTTCTACAGATGAAAAAAAATAATCTTGCTGTTCAATACTCAAAACACTCTCCATTAGCCCATCACCACTGATACAATCAAAATCCAATGAAAAACACAAATGTTAGCATACAATTAATAAAAACAGAAACAGTGCCAATCTCTTCAATAGCAAACAAAACGTTAGACAATTTGAGAACTAAACCTGTCAGATAAAACTATCCAGGAAAATACCTACAATTATAGCAGAAAAGTCCTTGCACAATAACCTTCAAAATTTTCTCTAATAAAGCTTAATTCAATGCACGAAAAGGGCAAGAACAAAAACCTAAATGTTTAAAAATCAAAAAAGAATATAGAACTTTCCTTAGCAAAAAAAAATTCGTAACAACCGAAGTTCTACAAACAACTCAAGCTGACAAATTCAAACAAGTCAACCTACCACAAGTTCAAAAGCAATTAGTTAAGTCCCGAAAAACCAAGAAATTTTAACGTACTCTCCCGTGATGCACTTTACGTTTCGCTAACTAAATCAACGTTCAATTTCTTTGACGCTATTTGTACAGCGTTGAATTATTTGCAAGAAAAACAAAAAACTTTCTCAAATTAATCTTGGAACGTACACTACTGCAATAATTAAACAATTTTTGAACATCATTCGCCCCTCAAAGACCCGCTCTCCTATAAAAAACTGAATCACATTCCTTAAAAAACACGTCCTAAAATATACAATGAGTCAATAACTAAAAATTTCAAAAAAGGCAACTTATTCTCCTTCGTGAACGATCTTAGGAGTTCATAAAACATTAAAACATCTTGGCCAAGACGTCTTTTAAATCACAATCAAAATCTACAGTTGTGCTGCTATGCACAATTTGTGTAACTGCATCGAATAGCTAAAAAGAAGACTTGATTTTGAACCCAACAGAAAGAAACGAAAAAAAGAGACAGCAAAAACAAATTAAAAATCTTCCACAAACGTGTATATCATTATAAATGCCAAGTCCAGGAACTAATTAAAATATTTTCTACTTCAAACTTAATATCAAATTTTTAAAAATTATAACGAGGATACTAAAAAAGAGATCCGTAAAAAAGATATGAATCACGAAAGAAGGATAAAATTGCTACAATTGCAACCCGGTGACCAGCACTACTAAAAAATAACCCTACCCACATAGTATCCATACGTAATTTAAAAAAAATGAAAAATCCTTACTAAGATTGCGATATAATTTTGGAAAAACTTCATTTAGTTCTGAAACAGGCTTGAAAAGAAATAAAAAAAGAAACAAATTCACCGACAGTGACTTTTCTAAAGCCGAAAAAATGACGAATTAAAAAGAAAAACTATACAAATGAGAAAAAAATTACACAAAATACCGATTAACGATTCGCAAAGTCCTCCTATCAAAACGAAAAAAAGCAAACTCTATAAACAATAAGCTAGAGGTAAGTGTAAACCAGAACATCTAAAACTACAATTTCAGATACGATTTTCTGGTGGCAGTCTACAAACAGTTACATACGTAAAAATCATTGCAGCCAGTTAGCTAGTGAAACAGAAAAAGCCAAACAGAAATAAAAGCTATTAAAAAACCTAACTTCCAAAAAAATTTTCCTTTCATTCATCTTAAAATGTATAATAAGAACTTCAGTAAACAAATTTTGTCCCATTCGAGCCCCAAAATTCTTCATTTTACTTCAAGTCTCTTAGTTTTGCGGCATCATCACCGTCACTGTAACAATGACCGCCCCTACTCTGGGCTTTATTCCACGCACAACACGGCCAGATGATTTTATTTACTCGTTGTTAATACCGTTCGTGCTCAGTAGTATTTCAAAACTAAACAAAATTCCGAAAATGCCAATATCTAAAAAATGATCTCTCAAAACCTGTAGGGAAGCCATTAAAGTAACCTTCAATGCAATTTAAACCATCTTTGATACAAAGACATACTTTCGAAATCACTCCTCTCTCATTTAACCTCAGGCCTTCTAGCACATTAAAATACCCATAACAATTTTGTAACACTAGTCTTAGATAAGAATCTCTTCACTCTCTTCTTCTTCATCTCCCTTATCATCCTCTCCCACTAAAATTATTAATTTTAAAAGATGGCTCCTTGTAAAATAATAACTTAAGTCTTCCAACTAGATTAAAAAGCAGTTAGACCTCATGAGCCTAGTACTGTTTGTGAAGATTTTTTAAATAACATATAAAACACTATACAAATAAACTGCCAAACTAAAGCAGTAACTTTAAACAGTTTTCAGCGTTTAATTTTCAATTATAGAAATCTGTAACTGCCGCCCTGCGAAAATTCAAAGAATTCATGCTTGTCTCATAAACCCTTCCAGCCAGTTCAAATAAAATTCAGAATCTTCTAAATGTGCAATTATTGCTAGTGAAAGGGACAAATAACGCGAAAAAAAGAGAGTAAAGTATAAAAATTTCGAATTAAAACGAAAAGTCATCTTCAAAAATAAAGCTAAAAGCGGAAAAGACGAATCTAAATTCTAATAAGTATTGCAAAATAGCCTATACAGTGATAGTACTTATGAAAATTTCTTATAATGAATATGAAAGCGCAAGAAAAAAACCATACTCCGAATAGAAGACAATTGCATCTAGCTAAGATCAATCCTAAAGGGAGGAATAAGACAGAAAGCAAAACACGAATATCTTACACTATAAAATTAGGATCTGATCGTTCTCCTAAAGAGAAAAGAACGTCAAAGTGCGCAATACATTCACAATAACTCTGAATTTTGTTGATTTTATGGTTTAAAAGTAAATTACACGTTAACACCTTATAATCCTACAAAGTTACCTCTTTCGCAAAAAAAAAAAAGGCTTACTTCAGTGAAAAACGGTTGAAAACAATAAACTGTCAGAAAAATAGATGGTTCCAGTATTCACACTACATTACATCTCCCATAAAATTGAAGTGCTCGTTTCAAAAAATAGAAATCCATATTACTTTAAAAACTATTTAAAGGCTACAATTCCCGTAAAGGGTAGAAAACTACGAAAAAAAATAAGAAACTAAACAAATCCCACAATTTCGCTATAAAAATGTTGTTAAATTCAAATTTCCTAGCGAAAAAAACAAGCAATAATCTACATAATTGTCACCCCAACAAAAAACTTGTTAAATAGCCTATGCTAAAATCATTATTTGAACAGTTACTGTCTTCGAAACTTGTAAAATCTAGTAATTCGTAATAAAGCAACGAATAAAAAGGTTACATTCGTACGGCAGAAAACACAGAACATTTACGATGTTGTAGGAAATATAGACAATGACAGCCAAAAAGACAAAAACAAGGGAACTAAAAGTCATTTACAAAGAGGATCAAAATGAGAAATGCATAAATACCAAAACCTGCAGGTAGAAGATAGTGAGGTTGGTACTGTCGCCGACCCATACTAGCCTTGAGATGCATGGGCAAACGCATATCGCTAATAATAGACTCTGAATCTGTTGATGCCACTAAAATTTTAGCCTAGTAAGCTGCTGAGATGAAAGTAACACTGTAAGATCTGAGTAAAAAATAACTACTAAGTTGAAAAAAAGTACGCTAACTTACAACTTTGGTCAAACTGTTGCACAGCCCGACGATAGGCAAGCGTGTCCAGAGGATAACGGGTTGGAGCTGGACCGGGTACCTCAAAATAGAATAATTAAGACATCAACAAATGACGTAGGATGAAATAAAAAATTTCCAATTAACAAATTGATACAAAACGATACCGACCTTAGTGCTGAAGGCAAAACATAAGACTTACAAAGCTTAAAATGTGAACAAACAAGTGTTTGACCACAAATAAATGAGAAATAAATACGTACAATGTGATGGTGAGGCGCTTTTAAAGGTTGACTTGATGAGCCATCCGAATGAGTACTCCCTTCTGAAGTCTGCAGAAAAAGCTCAAAATGCCCCTTTGCAGAACGTCGTAATGGTTCATTATCATCACGTAGCTCAACCTTCACTTCGCTGTAAAAAAGCTTTGAAAGTACTGACAGCAATCTTGTACGAACAGATAAGAAAATGTTAAACTTGTTAAAAAATCTGAACTGAATAATTTAATAAACATAACTAGTCATATGAAAAACACTATTTCAGTTTCGTTTGAGAATCAACATACGAGAAAACTGCGGGATCAGGAGACGGCGCTTTGCAGTAGAACTTAAAATTCGAACGATTAAGTACACGTTTAAAATCTCCAAGAGTAATTTTTTCTGGAGGCACTTGCACCTCCGTACAATAGGGCATCTCTTCAACATCGATATGATAATAAACCTACAATTAAGAAACAAATTAAACAGACAAAAAATAAAAAAGTGAAGAACCTATTATTAGTCAAAATAACAAGACATTGGACGATCCGTTTTCAGATAAACACAGAGATTGCAAGCTGGATGAATTTTTCTAGCCATAACTATTACAAAACAACGAATCTTTCCACATTACCTTAGTCGTTAGTGTCGCAGGTACTACAGCCGGCCCTGCATTAGTACCGGAACACCCGTCAGAAGTTGAAGCAGGAGTAGATGTTAGGTTAGTTTCGACACTGTTGGGCGTTTCCTGCACATCTGCACCTTCATCATTTACTCTCAACCTGAAAAATTAAATTATAATCATGATTCATTACTTAGGATAATTCTTCTAACTTTTTATCAAAAAAATATTTCTTGGTAAAGATCCCTAAACTGATTTTTCTTTTGCAGAATAAAGCGCCGTAACAATGAAAGATACTGTAAAAACAAGCAGTCTCTTTCTATCTTTAATAAGACACAACCTCATTT